CCAATGTGGTTTACCCTGAAAGAAAATGGTAGAAAGTGGTATATACTTAATTAACCATTAGTGGGATTTTAGGGTTCCTTTCGTGTGAAGCAAGTGGGTGGGGGCAATTGTGTAATAATGATAAAACCCTATAAGAAATTGTCAGAAGTTTGGCTTGCGTTGGAAAGGGACAAGCTGGTCCAAAACCCAAATAAATACCCCATAAGATAAGCTGATCCAAACAAAGGCAACTTTTAAAATCTCTCAAAATCAAAGCTCAAACAAGCAAAGAATTCCCATTGTATCTCTTTCTTCCACTGCAACAGCAATGTCCATGATATTCCATGTCTTCCTCCTCCTTTCTCTATGTTTCTCAGGTACTCTTCGTATTCGAATATTAATACAAATCACGTCGGCATGTCTCATTAATGATTCTTTGTTATCTCTAATGTGTTCTTTGGTCTATCTATTTACAGATCATTTTGGTGTATTACGAGTTGCTTCGTTAGGCATCAATTATGGTCAAGTTGGCAGCAATTTGCCACCACCCGATAAGGTTCTTGATCTGTTAAGTTCCCTTCAGATCACAAAAGCAAAAATCTACGACACCAACCCTCAAATTCTGACAACATTCGCCAACTCCAACGTTGAGCTCATTGTCACTGTTGAAAACCAAATGCTATCCGTGGTAATGGATCCCCAACAAGCACTTCAATGGGTTACCACCCACGTCCAGCCTTATTTCCCGGCCACCAAGATCACCGAGATTGCGGTCGGGAACGAAGTGTTCACCGACGGTGACACGTACCTTGTCGGATATCTCGTCCCGGCCATGGTCAGCATCCATGGAGCTTTGGTTCAATTGGGACTAGACAAGTACATTAAAGTTTCCACACCCAACTCATTGTCCGTTCTTCAAGAATCTTTCCCTCCGTCGGCCGGGAGTTTCAAGAGCGAAGTCTCGGGGATCATGTCGCAGTATCTTCGGTTTCTGGCAAGCACCGGCTCCCCATTTTGGATCAATGCATACCCTTATTTCGCTTACAAAGGTGCCCCGGACAACATTTCCTTGGACTATGTTCTGTTCAATAAAAATCCGGGCATGGTTGATCCTTACACCAAGCTACACTACGACAACATGTTGTACGCACAGGTAGATGCTGTCGTTTACGCAATGTCCAGGTTGGGTTATAGCGGGATCGAGGTGCGGGTGGCGGAGACGGGTTGGCCGTCGAAAGGGGACCCCGATGAAGTAGGAGCAACCCCAACCAATGCAGCCGTTTACAACAGGAATTTGGTGAAGCGGCAAATGAGGAATGAGGGGACACCCTTGAGACCAAATACGAGACTTGAAGTGTACTTGTTTGCTCTGTTCAATGAGGATATGAAGCCCGGACCGACATCGGAGCGAAACTACGGTCTTTTCGAACCCGATGGATCCATTGCTTACAATGTGGGACTCTCTGCCTTGTCCACAACATCATCAACTTCAACGTCAACGTCAACATCATCATCATCTTCTTTTTTCCTTACATCCTCTTCAGATAAGGTAAAATCATTGCTTTTGTCTTCTTGTTTTAAGTTCTTACGCCATTTACATCTCATAATGCTCATGAGCAATTATCTAATTATTTTTTTACATCTCTCTTTAACTGCCATTTATTTTGCGTAACAGGCAGCAAAACTGGGATTCCAAAGCTTGGTGTGTTGGATGTTTGTGTATTTGCTGGCTCTCCAAGTTTTACCTAGGCAACATTAAAGTAAAATGAACGATGCATGCAAATATTACCTCTTGGTAAGAAAAGAAAATTTGGGTCATTTTATCCTTCCACAAGACCACTTGATCAAGATGAAATATACCAAAATTCTTCACAAGTTGACCTACATCATTGTTTCATGTAAAAAGAAAATATCATCATAAATATTGAATTGAATGATTCAACGATTCGAACACGATGAAATGAATTTACTATTTGGTTGTAAAGAAAGCATTCTTTGTTACACTTTTGACGTGGAAACCATAATGGTTAACTTTCTCTTTGCTTTTCCCCCTTATCTTTATAAGAAAAGATTATGGAAAGAACAAATGGGATAATGAATAAGTTTAAGCTCTTTGGGTTGTTTAATATTCAATCCCCGAAATGAGCCAGCATTGGTTATAATATGACATCCTTTTCTTCACAAAGGAGCTTTTTCTAGGGTTATCTTTTTCGTTGTATGGGGAGACAATGTAAGCTAAGACTTGGTTAATGTTGATGAGGATCGATGGTCTTCTCGTTCCTACATCACCCAACGTGGTGTACATGCCCCCACTACACAAATTTTCTTGGATCCCGGCTATTAAAAGTTATAAAATAGTCACCTAACGTAGTGTACATACACCCACTACACAAATAAAGTGTTGCTTTATTGAGAATCCCGACTATTCAAAGTTATAAAATGATCCTCTCACTATAGGACACTTCTTTGTTGAGTCTCTAACTATTAAAAGTTACAAAATGGTCACCCGGTTATTCATATATTCTAAACTCGTCCCTTTTTGTTAAAGATTTGACGGTCGTCTAATTTGAATATTAACCTGCTAACTGAGATATGATAAAATTATATTTTAATGATGTATATTAGCACTGTCGTTGCTTTAAAGAACTGGCTTGACGACATAATGTATAATGAATTAACTCGATCATATAATCTAAACAGAGACTTAATCCATAAAATACAGCTCAACCAGTTTTGGAATCAAAGTTTTATCATATCTCAGTGAGCATGTTAACGTTCAGCTTAGACGGTCTTCGATTTATGTAACAAAAAAAGACAAATTTAGAACATATGAATAGTAAGGTGACAATTTTGTAACTTCTAATAATATGAGACCCAACAAAGTAACGTTTTATAGTTATAATATCATTTTGAAACTTTTAATAGTCGATTGACTCAATAAAATAATAACTTGTAGTTGAGAGATCATTTGTGTACTCTACCCAATTTTCTTTATATATGCTCTTTATTATTAAGATTTACGTGCTGGGAATTCCCATAATATTGCCTATAATCAATGATAACATAAATGATCATAATGTAAATTTTAAAATCTTGATGGTAAATGATAAATTTATACGAATATTAGTGACCATATGTGTAGTTTAACCACTAACAAATTCCTTGGAAATTCCTAAACTTAACTGGAAGGTATCAGGGAGTCTAAAACCCTAAAAGCAAAGAGCAAGTGATTTGGGAAAGAATGGCAGAAGAATTGGCTCTGGATTTGGAGGAGCTTAAGCAGATTCAAAGCATCGCTAAGAGGCCACGTATTTTATCTCTTATTTCCTCTGAGATTAGCACCTTGGAAAAGGTTTTCCCCCCTCTTCTTCTTGGATATTGAAATTTCGATGTTTTGAATGAAATGGGGATGATGCTATTTTGATTCGATTCTTCATGTTGAAACTAGTTTTGATATTCTGATCGTTTCTAGTTTCTGAGTTTTTCTTAGAGTCTCTTCGTGGGGGTTGCTCTTGCAGTGTAGAAGATTTCATGTTCAATGGTTTTGGCATTTTTCTTGGCTGTTTATTGAGTTCTTCTGTTGCAGACAGTGAAAGAGGATGCAAATGGACCTTCTCCTGCTGCTGTTCCACAAATTCCAATTCCCATTGCAACCTCAGCAAAGGCTCCAGTTAACCCAGCACTGAGTTACGTTACACTCGCCTCGTTCAGCTGGGATCAAGATAACGATAAAGTCAAGGTAAGAAATTTCGATGTTCTTAGAGATTTAGAACATTTTCATCAGTGTATTAGATATCAAACCCCCAATGTTGCAACCTGAAAAGAAAAATAATCCATTTGATTTATTGAACCCAAAATCTGTCTAATTATTAAGTTCATCTTTTATTTTTACGAATTTGAGAAGTTAGTCTCTTCGATTTCATTTGTTGGAATTTGGTCATCCTAGTTTATGAAAACTGAGATGTTAATCTAATCTGAAGATTAGTAGTAGTTCAGTAATTTATCTGCACCGATAAGCAAAACTCGATAGTTTAACAATTTATATGCAACGAATTAGTAAAAATCAATAGTTCTAGTTCATGTGTTTAGGAAGAAATGGACTAACTTATCGGTTTTCGGTTTTAATAAAGCACAAAAGTCAAATTCGGACAAATTAAAGGATGTAATACATCCTAAGTGAATTCTTTTGTTACTTCATACCAAATTTGAACTTTAGAATTGAAACTACATTGAGCTTCGGTTCTCTCGAGCGATTAACACCCCTAGTAGATTAGATTTGTCTTCAAATTTGTGTTAACTGTAATTATTCTGCATTACCATTGCATTCTCAACCTTGTCTTTTTTTGGCTGATCCCGTGTTTATACAACAGATATATGTCTCTCTGGAAGGAGTCGAACAGGAGAAAATCCAGGCAGATTTCAAGCCAATGTCATTCGATGTTAAATTCCATGACGTTAAAGGCAAGAACTATAGATGTGCTATTCCAAAATTGAACAAGGAAATCGAACCAGAGAAGTGCAAGGTGATAGTTAAGCCTGCAAGAGTCATCATCACGTTGTTCAAAGATTCAAAAGGCAACTGGTCTGATCTACACTACAAGGAGGACAAGGTAATTGCCTAGATTACCGCAAGTAAGATTACTTTTCCATGGTTTTTTTTTTGCCACTAAACTACACTAATAATATTTTTCTTTTTCACACAGCTGAAGCCAAATTTGGATAAAGAGCGAGATCCCATGGCCGGAATCATGGACTTAATGAAGGTAAAGTTTATTCCATGAGTTATTCATGGCATGTGTTTTATCGACAAAATTCCAATATCTAAATTACTGCCGGTTTGTGTAAATTGCAGAATATGTACGAGGAAGGGGATGAGGATATGAAAAGAACAATTGCCAAAGCATGGACTGATGCAAGATCTGGAAAGACTGGTGATTCTTTGAATGGTTTTCGTTGAATTCCATATGGAAATGGGTATTTTTAGGGGTGGATTTTAGCACAATGGTCTTTTTTATACTTTCTGTGGGATCTTGTCTTCTTGAAGTTGCAGGAAACTTGTTTCTGGATATTTTTGTTCTTGGTGTTAAAAATCATTGAAATTTGGAACTCCATGTTTAAACAACTGTTTCTTGACGTATTATTTGTGAAAATATTCTAGGCTTCGTAAACAAAACTCACTCTAACAAGGCATTGATAAGAAACCTAAGGAATATGAAAATCTGGAAAATTGCAACTAACAATTAGGGTGCCGACCATGGTGGCTTGCTGCCTCATTAGATTATTCGATTGCCATGGTCTGCATAACGGCCATCATTCGAGTATTTGACTGCCATAGTCTGCATTGAACTTCTCATAACGATGAACGTGTAAATGAGCTGATGGTCTCGTGTTCTTCAAAGCAGTCTCTATGTCATCAGGAGTAATTGGCCCAACCTTTGGCAGCTCTGCGAATAAAAAACTAGCTGTTAAGTTGGTCATTATAAATGAAATCAAATCTCTCTTTTTTCTTTGATTTATCTTGTTTATAGAACATTATAGTTCGCTATAAGAGATACATACCATGGTCGGGCACTGCTTCCAAGCTATTCTCAAGGTCTCTCATTAAACGTCTCAATGGTTGCATGGCAGCTTCTTTGCAGACTAATCGAATATCCGAACCCGAATAACCATCTGATCTTTCCACTAATGTATCATAAGGAAGAGCCTCCTCACCATTATCTCCAGGCAGGAGTGCTTCGAACATTGCTCTTCTCGCTTCTGGTTCTGGGAGGGGAACAAGGATCTTTTTTCAACGTGGTTAAAGGATGACACAGATTGCAGTTCGTAATGATTTTTGGGTGATTTGTGTAGCTATCAACCTTAAATATCAACTGAGAATAACATGTAGAAAAGACTAAACAGTTCAGAGACAGTCAAAGGATACTCGCTTCTCTAGACGACGGAGCATGGCTGCATCCAATTCCCAAGGCAGGTTTGTTGCTGCCAAGACAAACACGAGCTCATCTGACCGTGTCAAACCATCCATCTGTGATTTAATACAGAGATCAATTTTTGGAGAAACTAGAAAGTACAGTTGACATGTAAGATGCTTGTAGTTTATTTTCTCCTCATGGTTTACGTGAAACTGATTTTAGAGTGCAAGATATTTAACTAAAATAAACCACTGAAGGTGCTAGAAGGTATTCTAAATAACATGCATGAATTATCGTCACATGAAAGGACATCTATGGCCTTACAAAAGAAAACACATCTTGAGAAAAAAACATCACCTGTATAAGTAGCTCGGTCTTCAATCGCCTACTTGCTTCATGCTCGCTGTTCCCTTCACCGCCACGCTGACTTATGATGGCATCAATTTCATCAAGAAATATGGTAGACGGTGCATGGTGCCTAGCTAGGTCGAAAAGTACTTTTATTAGCTTCTCAGAATCACCTGAAATGTTATAAACCCCGTTGTTAGATAACTGGGTGATATTTCTAAGAATCACTATAGTGGTGTTCAGACAGGTCCTTCTATTCATATTGACATCATGATCTCCTTTTCTTAGTGGATTGATGTCGTGATCTTAAATAGCGTATCAAATAATTTGATCAATAATAATTTTTCTTCTGCTGCTAAGTAAGAAATTCGGGGCCTTACAAAAGAAAAAACATCTTGAGAAAAAAACATCTGTATAAGTAGCTCGGTCTTCAATCGCCTACTTGCTTCATGCTCGCTGTTCCCTTCACCGCCACGCTGACTTATGATGGCATCAATTTCATCAAGAAATATGGTAGACGGTGCATGGTGCCTAGCTAGGTCGAAAAGTACTTTTATTAGCTTCTCAGAATCACCTGAAATGTTATAAACCCCGTTGTTAGATAACTGGGTGATATTTCTAAGAATCACTATAGTGGTGTTCAGACAGGTCCTTCTATTCATATTGACATCATGATCTCCTTTTCTTAGTGGATTGATGTCGTGATCTTAAATAGCGTATCAAATAATTTGATCAATAATAATTTTTCTTCTGCTGCTAAGTAAGAAATTCGGATGGAACAGAATATAAAATGATTCCAGTCAAACATGAAATTACTATATATTAAAATGATATTTTTCCGTTCATTTTAGACACATTTCTTCATAAATTTCATGCCTAGGACCAAGTCCCTAATCAAATAAGATCTTGGAAATCACATGCTTAACGTACCACGCCATTTGCTGACTACAGATGATGCTGAAATATTGAAAAATGTTGTCTTGCATTCTGTTGCAACAGCCTTTGCTAGCATTGTCTGCAACCAAAACCATGGGTTCCAATAGAAGCTAACATCAAAACATACACTAATACGATATAGCGAATAATATACCCAGAAGCATAATTCTTTTTCACAGTTGAAGAGATTGTGACTTACTGTCAATCTGAAGTTTACTATATGTTCATGAAAGATACGTTTTCTTTTTCATATTAACCAAATATCTTGCATATCTACTGCATTATGAAGACGGCTTGTATAAAACATCTATTTGATGGAAACAATTGAGGAAATACATACCTTTCCGTCCCTGGGGGGCCAAAGAGGAGAATACCCTTCCATGGTGAAAGAAGACCCGTAAAGTACCTACAGGGAATCATATCAATTTTGAAACGAAAGCTTCGAAGTCCATGACATATTATTGAATGTTTCATCAACACTTACTAAATCAAATTCGCAAAACAAAAGATCCCATGGTGCTTTACAGAATATTTCCGTTGATCTCAACTTTTAAGCATATGAGAGGAAGCAGCAATTGAACTGATATTATATTAGTGAACATCTATATCATTTTGAAAAAGTATTAGAATCTCTTTGTAATATACTCCGTCCACTTTTAAGAGAACTAACTTATAGGCGACTTAAGCCCTCACAAGGACAAATCTGCTTTCGTTTTCAACCAAGTGTCCAAGATAGGAAAATAAGAGTTCTTGACAAACATATCACATGCACTGTTGAGTGTAGTAGCTTTGGAATCTTATCAACATCATAACATTGTAAAAGAACTGAGGTTGTTTCCCTTTATAGTTCTATAAAGTTCAGTGCCAAATGTAGGATCCTGGTATTGGTCTGCAGGACACATATACAGACTAGTCTCTACTTTCTAATTTTCACATGAAAAACTTCTACTCAGTCGAGCAAACACATTGCCCACTTGATTCACTCCATATGATAAAATGAAACTTAAGTTCAGGGAGAACTGCACAAGAGTAGGTTCCATTACAACACTGATAAGAAAAAATCAAGAAATGCCAGATTATTGTAGATTCACAAACATAAGCTAGCAGTTGAGTGAAAAAATGGGTACACCCCACAATCCTTTTCAAGAAAAAAAGACTGCTGGCATACTGTGCACAGAATCCATTATCTGGGCATAGAAATACTTACTTGGGATATTTTATTGGCATAACAACTGCTTCTTTAAGCAAACGTTTGGCGTTCTCTAATCCCTTGATGCTTTCCCACTTCACATCAGGACTCCCTCGAACAATGTCCCTAAAAGAGGATGATGTAAGATGATATGAAATAGAAAAAATTCAGGCTATAATGTTAAACAATAGGCCGGTAGCTAAAACTTCATTTCTATCGCCAATGAAATTCTTGGTTACCTGCTCAAACTCTCCCCCAAAGCACGCATTTCTGCAGTTTCGAAAGCAGGAAGAAGAGGCCTTTGCCTATACATATAAAGGAAAGGAAAACATCAAAATCATCATTTTAGAAGGAACTGGAGAATCAAATATTCTTTGCCAGTAACCATTAGTATTCAACTTCAAACACAAGAACGTTAATCCGAGTAATCAATGTTGAGAATTATACATATAAAAGCCAAGTGTAAATAAACAAATCGATTGAGTAGCAAATCAGAGGAAGTAATGAACATACGGTCTTGAATCAGATCCGTTAGCTACCAAACCATTAGAGAGCACCTGATTCGTATTCTGAAGCCGAAACAAAAACAATAATAAATCATTACAATCAAGAAATACAAAAAAATGTTTTAAAAAAACATAAACAAATAAATAAATCTCTTCCTCCCAAACTACGCATCATAAATAGACCTGCTTTTGGTACTGCTCATAAATAGCCATATCAGACGAGTTCTTAACAGAATGGTTTCCATTTGAGGTCACAGTGCCATTGGAGACGGCCGCATCAGCAGCTTGATCATCCTGTGGCTCAGGTAATCTCTTCCTCCCAAACTACGCATCATAAAACATTTCAAAATCCAATAAATAAATCATATTATGCCTCCAGAAACTGCTTTAAACATCTCCCCTTTTTTCCTCTTAACATTGCTTCATACAGTTAGATCACAGCTCGAAAATCCAAAGAACATAAACAAAACTAAAGAACAACAACTTATTAAATCCAATGCAGTTTAAGGTAAATAAATGAACCTAAAATTTAAAGTCAATCGAAACAAATCATGTAAACTTCATGAAGCTCAGTTTAGTGAAGCGAATTGACAAACATACACACACACGACGAATTTTGAAAGTCTTTTTCTTTGCTTAGATTTTTAGGCGAACAAAAAATAAAAACAAGAGGGAGAGAGCGAGTACCAGAAAGGCCATTGTTTGACTAAAATTGAATGTCTTTTCCTTGGGAGAGAAAATGAGAGATTTGCAAGAAATTTTCCTCAGATCTCTCTTTCTCTTTAGTTCATTAAACTACTAAAGAGTGTGCGGTGTGGAGTGCATAAGAACAGGCTACTCAGGGCGCGTGCTTTTAAAAAGAAGTTCAATAAATATATATTTGGAAATTTATACTATATATTAGCTGTCGTGTTTCCTATTTTGGACTAAATTTTACTATTAGAGAAAATTTGGTAGGTTGTTATTTGAATTATTATCAACAATTATTCGTATAATATAATGAGATATTATAATTTTTAAGTAAGGTTTAGAGTTTAAATATTTACGTTTACGAAAGGAGTAAATTGAATTGAGATTGTCAATTTATATTTGGCCTCTGTAAAATCTGATCTAGTATTATAGATTAAAAATTAATATTTTTAATAAAATGATAATAATTTCACTTGTTAATTTTAAGAGGCTCATATAATTATTAGTATTAAATTCATATAATTTTTAATTTCATTTAGTATCAAGTTCTTTTTTATATATAAAAGCAGTAATTTTATTAAAAATAGAAAATATATAAATATAATAAAGGTTTACAACCACAATATTAAACTAAACACATAATAAGAACATTTTTCTAAATATAAAAAATTAGCACACGAGGAACATATAAGGAAAGTGTTAAAAAACCTAATAAAATAAACTCGAATAAAATGTAGATTCGAACAGATCTGACCTCATTAGTAAACGAACCACAAAAAGGGACGAAGCTATTGAAAGACCGCCGATAAATGGCAAGTCATAATTGAGCGACATGAAAATACTATCCACGAATGCAAATTGTGTATCCAAATCCAATCCGAGGGTCCAAAGCAAGGAATATCAACATGATAACAAATAAGTATCATCTTGATCAATTGTGATGATGTCAAATCGAACCCTAAAAAAGATAAATAAAAACAACGATCAAACGGTCGAAAACGTTAAACATATTTAACGTTCCGTTTTAGTTCCGTTTTAGTCATCCTCCGCTAAAAGCTAAACATAACTAATTAGTTTTTTCCCAATGATGAAGTGGCATTATCTTATGGTGACAAGTTAGCATCATCGTTAATTTTTTAACGACATGATCAAAACGTAACGTTACGAACGATTTCGAAAAAAATAGTTAAGTGACCAAAACGAAACTACAGAAATATGCGGGTGACTAAATACATAGTTTATCTAAAAAATGTCTATGATAAGTTAGGGTAAAGTCCACGCTTAGTACTTCAACTATTACTTTTGTTTTGTTTTGGCCGAGGAAAGAGGGAGGATTTCTCCATTATCATCCCTTTTATGTATCATTTCATGATTAAACTTGAAAAGATCATTTCGTATTCAGCTGAGTATTCTGTCAGAAATTATAAAATTATCCTTATTTATAAAGCGTAGTAAATATTATTTTAAGGGTGTTATTATCTTTTTTATATGAAAATACATGACTTGGTATTCAAGCACAAGATAGATCAATTCTGGTGGTGATTCTATCTGTAAGCTGCAGCAGCCAAGGATCCCTGTGATACTGTTTGCAGCTTGAACAGTGATTCTACTGGTGCAGGACTCCATCGAGAAGGTTGTAATGCCTGTGAAATAGAAGAAACTCAAAACATTTCTGAGTGTGAAAATGGATTTATCAGGCAAAGCGTGCATGTGTGCATTATCAAGGAGGATGTTTTCAAGAGCTGACTTGAACTATCCGAATTGGGCAGACATGGTGAAAATACCAATTCTGAAGAAATAGATAGCCCACTACAAGCTCAGAGATCATATACTTCATGACATGTTTCCACCAACCTCGTTGCTTTAGCAGGAAGATTATAACTCTTGGAATTTTTGGAATGTGTCATTGCAGGATATTGAGTAATTGCTTGAAGAATTCAGTTTGGTTACACCAAGGAGGAGATCAGTAGCATAAATTGCCCTCATAGCCATAGCCCATAGGAAACAAATTATTCCCATTTTCTTCAACCTCTTAAACCTGCTCACTCCATTTATGTCCTTCGATGATCGTCTGATGTTTTGTTGGGCTTCATCTTGTAATGAACATAGAGTTCAAGTGGATAAAATCAAAGACATTGCCTCTAAAATATATATATATCAAAAGCTTCTTCATATAACCTCGTTACTATTTGACATATAATCATTTGATAATTTTATACTAATAAATTAATATAAACAGGGATAGATCGAACAAAATTATCATATATTTTAGATTTTTCTGTATATTTTTTTATTGAAAATCTGAAGCGTTAGGGTTTCCAAAGTTCGCAAGGCTCCAGAATATTTAAACTCAACCAGGCTAATATTTTTTCTCTTCAAATTCATTTTTAGACTTGATATTTCATTCAAATTTTCTCAAATATTAATTAAAATTTTAGATAAAGACGATACAATCAAAATTAAATTAAAGAAAAAATGTTTGTCCCATGAAATTTGTAGGAAAATGAGGTGGTTTTATGATCTGGGAAAGGGAAATTAATAAGAGAGAGGGGTCATTTACCTTATCAGTCCAGTATCCTTGTCGGTCGTCGGCCATCGTTGGAAGTTTTAGAGTCTATGGAGCTTGCATGTGTCGTGGAGGCTCCATTTTTAGGTTTAGATCGAAGTGAAGAGAGTCTTCGTTGAGGATAGTGGTCAACCGCCGTCTTAATTCGCCGGATAGAAGTAGATGAAGAGTCGAAGCTCTCGGGTTTGTGGTCTAGAGGGAAAATGAGGCGTTGAGGTTAGTTTAGGATTAGTTTTGGATTCTCTGGACACCGTTGGGCGGTGGCCGGTGGTAGTGTTAGATCTGTGAATAATAACGTTCCAAATTCCAAAGAAAATGGGAAAGGGTTGACTTATTGTGGTTTGCATGTGACTTAATATTTTTATAAAATAAATTTACATACATGTTGTGCATACAGTTTATTTCGTGTTTACTAATTATTGTGCGTGTACTTTATATTATAATAAATGTATGTGTAAATCTATGTTTCATTTAGGGATTTTTTTCTATATTTCTATATATATATATAATGCATAATTATAGATACGTATGACATATGTTTATATCCTTTAATTATATTTACCAATTTAATATGTGTAAAGCAATGTGAATTTATTTGATCATGAGCATGTAGACTTTTTTTATGTACTTTTCAATTCGAAAGAACTGTATGATATTCTCATGTACATAACTTAATTCCTATCACATAATCGGATTAAGGGTAATAACTTTTTAATTTATAATTGTTAGAATGACTTTTCTTAACTTATTAGAGAGCCGTTATCGATGATTTTAAATTAAAAGTGTATCCCATCAATGACACCTAAAATTTTGATTCATTACTTTAAAATTTGGAAATAAAAGAAAAAGAAATGTTCGACTATTTAAATTTGTCGAGAAAAAAGTTATTACAACTCACCTAAGATCTGATCTCGATATTTTTAAATAATTGAATATTTTTATCTTTCTAATGGCTTGGTAATTTTAATTTAATCTATTTTGGTGCTTTTTGAATGTTATAAAATTCACATTTTTGTTGTTTTAAGGGATCATAAATCAAATTAAAGTCGAATTTGTAAATTTCATTACAAAGATAATTAATTAATCGACTAGGTACCGATTTAGGGCGTTGTGGGGTGCTAATTCTTCCCCACGCGTAATCGACTCCCGAACTCGATTTTGGTAATGCATACTCTAAATTGTTGTTTTAATTAAAATTAATTTTTATTTAAAATAAAAAAATATTTTTGGGTGCCCAATCACACTCAATCAAATATTAGTGGCGACTCCTCGAACCGTACGTTTTATTTTAAAAAAGAATCCCAAATTTTTCGAAATGAATTTTTTTTTAAATTACATTACATTTTAATTAAAAATCAATCAGTTAAAAATGTCGTGACTTTCAAAATCTCAGGAAATAATCGTTTCGATAACATCATAATGGGAAAAGGGATTATTGTTACATTGAAATCCAAGTACAATGGGAAAAAGGTCGTGAAAAGGGAAGGAACAACCTATGTCATTTCCACCTATGGGGTATGGCAAAAGCCCTACACTTTTTAGCTGAAAAAAAGGGATAAATTTTGATAGTATTTTGACCACCACAAAGCTACAAATCATAGGCCTGAAGCTGTTTTCTCAAACAGGCCAAGCCTGTAATCACCCAACCTTGACTTGTATGCAGATGTCTTGTATTCCCACCATGTGAACTCCTTGTACAAGCTCTCTTCTCCTTTTGCCATTAGCGAGGGTAAAGGCGCTATCTTTTCATTCAAGGGTGGACCTCCAAAATAGACCATTGAAAGCCTTGAGTTCATGGAGTCTGTCAATACCTATGCTTCACACTTCTGAGCCTCCCATTTGTCATCACCTGCAACATTCACAAAAATCAGTCCACACCCATATAATGTCAACATTATATGCTAATACGCAAAACTGTTTAGATATTGTGATGGAAACACTTGTTTATCAGAAATTATTTCATTATCTAAAGTAATTATTACATTAATCTTAGAATTTCTCGTTAAGATTTTATGACAATTTCAGAAAAAGCATATGAACAACAAGACGATTTCATGATATCACCATGCATGCATGGCAACTTCCATGCTTCCCCTACATCCGGATTGTATTGTTGTCTGATAACAAACATGCAAACATCATGGGAACTCTCGCCTTGCAAGCATGGGAAGATGATGAAATCGACATATAGTCAACTCATTTTCTTAAAATTGTCATAGATCCTGATGAAATTCTCATATTACTAAAACGATTATCCTAAATCATAAAATTTTTACTTATTCAGATATATATATATATATATATATATACCTGCAAGGCATCGCCAACATTGATGAAAAAAGAGGTCTGATCAGGTGGGACTGAAACCCAAGTCTTATCTTTCAGACAGATTTGCAAACCTGATGTGTTGTTTGATCTCAGGACAGATATTATCTGCGGGTCTGTATGCTCCCCGAACCCTATCAAATTCCTGCCACTCAATGCTTGAAACGCCGGGCATGGCGGATAGTGGTTCAGCCTGAAACACGAGTCACTCTTATCATCTCTCAACGGCCT